CACAGGGCCCGAACCAATCAGTTTGAATGTGTAGCCCGCTTACAAATGACCAATCACCCCCGCCCCACCTGTTCCCGCCAATGAATGTGCCAATCACGTCTCAGAGTTGTTGTTCAATTTCCCCGCGCCTCATGCTGATTTGTTCTGATGTATGCAAAGCCCATCGCCCTCTCCAAAAAGTGTACTTAAGCTCTGCTTGACCTTGGCTCTGGGCTGCTCTCCCTCCTTGAGTGAGCACAGAGTCCCAGCGCGCTGGAGTGGATCCACAATAAATATCCCCTTTTGCCAATTGCATGGAGTCAGTCTCTTGGGTGGTCTCTCCCTCCGACGTTTCGCCAGACCCTTACACTTTGAGAAATATTTGAAGATAAATCAAATCTAGTACCACAATACCCAAGTGATCTTTTCCATTTACATCCATATCTGGCCCATACTTCTCCTGAGCTCCAGAGAGGCAAAGTCTTCCAGACATCTTCATTTGGACACCCCAGGAAAACCTCAAATATATTCCCCAAATGAAGTTATCACCTTTCCCACTAAACTGAACTTCCTTCTGTATCCCATATCTCAGGATGTAACAACATCATCCACTCACTGTCAGAACTGCTTCTTCTGCCAAACTTCAAGTGGCCACTGAATCCTTCTTCATTTGCTCCTAACTTTCCCCCATGCTTTTTCTGTCCATTTGTACCTCCATGCACAAGATCGGGTTCTCATTATCACTTGCTCCTCCACCTCCAGCCCTGTTCTTTTCAACCCAATTTCTATGCTGCAGTCATACTGCACATGCAACAGATTCCTGTTGTCCTCAGAATAAAATCAAACCTGTTAACCTAGTCTATGAGAAACAACAGGGTTTGGCCCCTGCATATATTCCCCTAGCCTCAGCTTTCCTGCACTCTTGCTGGACCATACTCCTTACAATTCCAATCACACCATATTCTCTCCGGCAAATGCAATTTTGCATTGCCTTCTCATTTTCTGGAGCACCCCCTCTCTTTACATGGCCAACTCCTACTCCATCTATAAGGTTCTGCTCAGATATACCTTCTGTGAAGACTCTTCTGGGCCCTGACACCTCTAAAATGGATTAGTTAATCCTCCTCTGTGCTTGGCTGTATATTCTAGGTGAGACTCCAATTAAAATTGTGCTTCAAGTTAAAGATGGGGTTCTTCCAGGGTAGAAAGCAAAGTCCACCTAATGTCTTGACTAATGAATAAAACACACAAAATAATAATTGTGGTTCCCTCTGATACCTGCATTTGAACTCAAAACATATAAACTTCAGAATATATTTAGAGCTTCATCTCCTCTTTTGGAAATGGTCTTTCTCAAGTGAGTTCCACCAAAGGGAGCCAAGGGAAAGAAGGGGGCACCATTCTAGTCAATTTTATCAGCCATTGTGGTTACTTATCAGGAGTGCTATGTCTCAGCACAAGAGCCCACACATCCAATATGTGACATTTATTACACACCACTCCAACTCCTTTCTGAAAACACAGGATAAGAACAAACAACATGAATTTGTGAATTCTGTACAGTCACGCTCTTCTCAGTCCCCACCTCCACTCAATGTTTGTCTTTTCATTTTGTTCAGCCTCTACTCTTCCCACACATCAGTGAATAAATGCTTTCCTCTGCTCTTCCAGGCCTGTGTCAAAATCCTTTCCCCTACCAAGCCTAAGTTCCCACTTCCTTCATGAAGTTCAGGATTTCTCTAGCTCACAACAAAGTCCTACTACACTGATCAGCTACCAATTGGTTGTGTCTATGTATTTTCAGATATCTGCCTGCCCTGAGTCAGCCTTACCTTAAAATACAAGCCCAGGGGTCAATATTTAGATTGCAAGTTGTTCAATACCTTTAAAACATGGTCCTTGTTCAGTTGAAAAATTATGGGCTGAAAAGCTACTTTAAATAATATGGAAAGATAAAGGTAGCTGACTTGTTTGTTAGGATTGAATGAGTGTTAGTATTACTGACATGTTTATTATTTTTAAGGTAATAATATATACATATATGTGAGTGTACATATACACACACCCACATACATACACATATATGTTTGTAGTACTGGGAACTGAACCCAGGGGCATTTACCACTTAGCTACATCTTTAGCCCTTTTTATTTTTTTATTTTGAGACAGGGTCTTAATTGACTAGGCTGGCCTCAAACTTGAGACTATTCTGCCTCAGCCTCCCAAGTAGCTGGGATTATAGGTATATGCTTCTGTGTCCAGTTGAATTACTAGCATTTTTTAAAAGTTAAAAAACACTTACCTAAAAAACTGTTGGAGATAGAAGGGAAGAGCTCTGAGGGTTAGGGAGAACCAACTTTACCTTTGACATCAGACCCTATTAGTTCATCTAAAGGCAATATGAACTAAGAATCCTATTTATGCCATTTAAACATATAAAACACAGAACATCAAATTAGATACAATGGGAAATATACGGTTCCAATTACTGGAATAATCACTTCTGATATCCAGGGCACCCTGCATGCCACTCCCCCTTCTAAGGTTTCTGGAAAGCCAGTTTAGTAATCATAAGTCAGCCTTAGCACAGAATGACAATAAATGGTGGTGGAAAGTCCTAAGAGTTGTGCCACCCTAGATAATTCACCACAAGGCAATATTTACTAAACTAATTGCACTGGAACTAAGCTGTGCCAAGCTCCACCCACAGATGTGTAATAATTACTTTAAAAATTCAAAGTTATATATTAAAAAGATAGCATAACTTTGCTGGCATGGTGATATCTGATGATACTGTTTTTTGTTTTGGGCTTGGGCATTCTTAAATGTCTTATAGTGTTCCCAAGGGCTTCATAAGAGCGGTAGTTTGGTTCTGCACTGCCACAGAAGCCTCCTAGTGACCAGAATAACCATCTAAAGAAAGCCCCACTTCTTCCAGCAATACTGGTCTTTTATACCATTACCTCAGACTTAGCACAATCTAGTCCAGATTGTTATCTTTCAATATACTATTACTACCTTAACATTTGGGAGGTATTTGAGCCTACAAGCAGCATCAAACCTCCGTTTAGGGTCTTGGCTATCACTGTACTTTATATATGCCATGACTCTAAAAAAAGGTGGGAGGTACTTTCTTAGAATATATTACTTCAACATATTGATTTTTTATTGGCTCCAGGATTGTCATTTCACAAGCTAGACCAGAGTGTTCTGTTGTTAATGTTTACCTTTTCCTAAAACATGACTTTCTTTCTCCACAAATTTTTCTAAGAACTATAATGCTATAGCTACAGCTAATATGCTAAAACCTAGTAGTAAAACAGTATCTGTTATAATACCCCAAATAATATACTTAATAAGTATATTTTACCTAATATACTTTAAAAATTTTATTTATTTATTTTTGTTTTTATTTATTTTTATGTGGTGCTGAGGATCGAACCCAGGGCCTTGCAAGCGCTAGGTGAGCACTCTACCATTGAGCCACAACCTCAGCCCTACTTAATATGCTTAAGTAAAACCTCAGCCCTACTTAATATACTTAAGGTATTTTATTTTCTTGAAACAAGATGAAAAACATGAAAACAAATTCTGAAAAATTTTTTAAATATTTATTTTTTAGCTGTAGTTGGACACAATATCTTTATTTTATTTATTTATTTTTACGTGGTACTTAGGACCGAACACAGGACCTGGCACATGCTAGGTGAGCGCTTTACCCAGCCCCATACAATTCTAAGACCTTTACAAAAGTCAAAGGCAGTAAATATAAAATCATCTAATAACATTTTCTCCCAAATAAAGTTGGTAGTCTTTATGTTAGGAACCACATTTGATACTGCACTCATTCAATCAATAGATGTTTATGGAGGAGTTACCAAGTAGTAAGTAGTGCTAAAATGATGAAAAGACTGAGATTTTGCCCTTAAAGAACTTATTCTATTCCAATCCTAAGACTAGGTACCCAGGATCATATAAACTAAAGCATTCTGGGCAAAATTAATAATCAGTCAGCAGTCTTAACAGAAACTTAATACATTTTTACCTTG